GCGTCAGTATCTGCGCTGCCGCCCGGCTCTTCAGTTCAAGAGGACTTCCTTTTACAGGAAAACGCACGATCAGCACTTTTTTGGGGTTTGGGGGGAAGCGACAATTCCAGAAAGTTCAGACCTGAAAGCCCGGACACCTGCTTTCGTTTGCACCCTGCGCAGCCTCCTATAAGCTGGTAACAGTAGTAATTATTATTGTAACGCTTACGGCCGACAGATACGGTGTAAGAGCCGGCGTACCAGAGCAGGTGACGTCACCGCCCTTCCCAGTAATAGCAGGACCACAGCTACTGGGCTGTAGAGAGATCTCTTCAGCTCACCGGGCTGGGTCCCTGCTGAGCGACGCGGGAGTCCCGGGTTCGAGCCCCCGCCGGTGGGGGGGCCGACCTAATGCGGCAAGGGCGCCCGCCTGAACCCCCGTTGCGTTACATTATTATAAGAATAAACAGATCAATGAAAGAGCCTGCTCTTACTTCTCTGTGCAAGGTACTGCAATAGGGGGATCGCGTTTATTTGGGGGGGGTTTTAAGCGGGCGCACACGGACGCGGGAAACAGTCCCGCGGAGAGCGAAAGTGGAGGTCCTACAGGATCAGGAGAAAGCCACGCGAACGCGTGGGAAGCACCGTGACTCAGCCGCGCTTGGTCAGAGTCAGCTGCGAGCAAAAAAAACAAAAACACGATGACGTCAGATGCCCGTTTTCTAAGCCAGCTTCTTCCGCTCCGGTGTTTGAACTGGGGTCTTGCTCGGCTCGCTCCTATCATTTAGAAGACGGGTGAAACTCTTAAACTTAGGAAAACGGGGGTGGGGGTAGGGGGACAGTCCCCTTCAGTAAGGAGAGGAAATAAAGTTAAGACACTCCTTGACGTTATGCGATGCTTTTCCCCCAAAACGCCTCGGCTAAGGGGCTGCTTCTTGGAGAACGGCTGGAAACCCGGGCGCAGGGTGACTCTTTCCCCAAGATCACCCATTTGTTATCTGACGGGGTCGCCTCTAGCCTCTAGCCTCGACCGGCGCAGAGATCTGCGGGGCTACTTTGTACCTGTGCTACTTAGTGCAGTATTTGACAACCGCCCGCCCCAGGCGCGAACCGCTGAACCCCAGCGCCAATAAAGCAATAAAGACGCCAGCGACCTTTCACCGGCCGCCTGTCAGACAGTCGAGTATCCAAACAGCCTACCTGGTCTCCGATGAGCAGACAGCACCGAGCGGGTAACCGGCTGAAGAAGCGGAAAGCACCTGCGGCTCCCCCCGAGACTGACGACACTGGCAGCTGGAGGCGCAGCTGGGATTTAAAGACGGGGCGCCGCGTCATCTTCCAGCCTCGCCCAATCAGAACAGAGCTCAGGAAAAAAAAACCCCCCGTGAAATGCTATCCTCCTTTCTGCCCGTTTAGCGGATGGGAAGGTTTACCAACCAGAACGCGTCCGGAACAGAAACATAAACATTTGCCTTCATCTTTAATAATAATAATAATCATCATCATCATCTTTCTTTAATTTTTGTTACATTATCTTTCTACATACATATAAAATAAACTATTTACATTATGCCTGCTATTTTGTTTGTTTTATATGCGACAGAGTTACATCACGAAAAACAACAACAATTTTGGCATAGAAAAAACGAAACACACCTTGGTAAAAAAAAAAAGCATTTCTAAAAACTTATTGGTAGAGCCCCTCACCATAACGAATATTAACGTTGAGCCGAGAGGATTTAGGTATTGAGGAGACTAGGCAAATGCGTCTTTTACGCGAACGGTATTTTGTTGTTTTTAATTGTTTTGAGCAGCGGGGTTTGGGCTGGCTCGACAGTTTCAAACGATTTCAAGTGTTAAAAGACGAATAACGCCAACAAACTTCTTCTATGTCTAATATTTTACGCCTTGCATCACAGCATACAACGCGGACAAGAACCCCTTCTTTAAAACAACAAGGACCGTACAACAAAATTGTAGACCGTCGTAATAGTGTGTCGCTGCAGGTTGAAAGTACCTTAAAAACCTCTTCTGTCATCGGCTTAGAGATATAGCGACCCTTCACTTTAAAGAGAAGTTAAGATCGCACCCTAGGGAACCCGCTGGGGAATATTTCAGTCGTTTATTATTTTTTTTTGGCATGGCATATCTTATGTTTTATCAACAAAAGCCGATGAAAACTGGTGGCTTTGGGGGCCCGGGGTGCTGTCTGTGTGGAGTCTGCATGTTCCCCTCGTGATTGTGTGGGTTTCCTCCAGGTGATCCAGTTTCCTTCCATAGTATACTGGCAGGTTAACTGGCTTTAGGGGAAAAGTGGGCCTGGTGTGTGTG